AAAAATGAACAACAGAGGATTAATTAAGATTGTCCCTCCCAAATTGGGACAATTGGAGGATATTGGAATCCTATGTCCTAGACAGAGTGCAAAGAATCCTGTTACTTACAACTTTTTCTTATTATGGTACCAATGTGTGCTTCCTGGCAAAATATCACTACCTTGAACTAAGACCTAAAATGATCAAAGCAGTAAGTGTACTCTGGTGCTTCAGTGCCAATTATACTTTGAATTCTCCCTATATAGGAGTGTTCAGCTTGCAACAAATCAAATGCTGATTGTACAAGATGACTCTATTCCAAACTTTGTCATGGTGGTCATGCGCCTTCAAATCTTTTCCAACCTATGGAGCCCCTAAGGCAAAGCTATCATGAAAATTTCTTGGCAAGGCTTGTTTGGCCAGGGTGGGGAGCTGCCTTTGCTTTCTTCTGATGTTGAAAGAGTGTATCCTGTTTTCATGGCTGACCAGGGATTTACACTCTGGTCTCCAGAGTAGTAGTCCTATGCTGAAACCACTACAACACACTGGCTCTCATTCCAGATGTATTTTTGCTTAACAAGTTACCATTCCTTTGCATTAGAAGACACAAAGGAAGCAACTGTTGCATGTCTGGACCCCAATTTTCTTCAGGCTCTTCCCTTTAGGCTGTACTAGACCCCAATGCTAGAGGAAAAGCCCTTATTTTTAATAAGTATTTAATAGGTATTTTTTGATGTTAAATACTGCAACCTATCTAAAAGGTAAATTGATAGCCCTGAGATTTCTAGGAGAGTTGTCTCCACCTTTTTTGGCTACAGAAATGGAGTCTAAGGGATCTGAAGGAGTCAAGACACTGGATGAGGACTGAGGAACAGCAGATTCCAGTAGAATGAAGAGGAAGGGCCTCCCTTCTCCCCATTGCAGCCCCTATATTTGCAACCCCAAAAAGCAACTCTGGTGGGCTGGAAACCATCCAGAGCTAGTTTTCAAGTGGTACTGAGGGCAGGAAGATAGAGGATTTAATTATTTGTTGTTGCTTGCAACAAGGCTCCTATTATGCCTATTTTTATTACTATATAACTTTCTGCAGCAGAAAATATATCCAGGGGTAGCCATGT